AATCCTATCACCCCTCCACACACACACACCTCTGGCCTGTACCCCAGTTCTTGTATGCATAAATAAATAAATGTTTTAAAAAATAAAATGATCATCAATTCCTCTTCTCACTCTTTACCCTTACTCTCACATATTTTTGAAAAAGTTTGACTGTGAAATAAAGACTTATCAAAGCAACAACAGCCTGGAGGATGGCTTACTTAACAATTACCATGAGAAAAAAAAAAATACTGGAATAGCATTTAGGAAAAGAAGGTATCATCAAGTGATAGATAATTGGAATTTGGAATGTTGTTAGTAATACCATTAGTTTTCAATTAACAGTATAAAACAGCGTATATATTTTAGCATGAAAGAAACAATGATACGTGTTTTGCAAAGAAACCTAGATTTTGCATTTGCATAAAAATATATATGGATATCATTGTATTCATTCAACAAGTATTAATTAGGATGAGATTGTATATCAGATGCTTCTCATTAAGGGGCATTACTAGTGATCTAAGTATTCTAATTGCTAATATATCATCACAGAGCCTTTGATTATATCTATGTAGAATGCTGGGTTATCAGAAAAGACTCTTTCAGACCTGTCTTAACTGGAGCAACTTAACAGTTAAGCAACCCACCCATTCTCGCTCTTGAACACACGGTTTCTCTTATCACACTGAGTGCTTACAGCCACTCCCACCAGTAGAAACATAGGCTTGTGAAGAACCAACCATGTTTGTTCCTACAATTTTTCAAGCTATCAATATATGTGCTTTTTTGGTGTAATTACATGAGTTAATTAAATAGGTAAACTGAGTACATGTGAGTGCAGTGAGACCTGTGAGACCTGTAGATTCACTAAAACTGATAAGGAATTTCTAAATCTTCCATGTAACTAAAATACATTTGTTGAAATAGCCACAGATAAACAAATGATGTGATACCCTCGCCAGTATCTGGTGATGCTGGGTGTCCTCGGGACATTTGTGATGTCTGGATCTAGGGAGGGACTAGTGAGAGGCGTAGTGGGGATCACAGAGCATTTGAAAAATGGTGGTTTTCTTCAAAGTAATTTTGATGAATATCCTAAAAAATGAGGAGTAATAATTCACATTCTCAGTTTCACAAGAAATTAAAAATGTCTTCATTTATCCCTCATGAATTAATTCATGAATTAAATATTTTGGTGAAAAGAATTTTTTAATAGCTGCTAGTAAGACTAAGTGAAGGAAATGTGACTGAATGTAAAAAGACCAGTCTTGCTTTTCTTTTCTTTCTTCTGTGTAAATCATCTGGGGCTTTTCTTTGCAATTGCTGTGCTCCAGTGAGTCAATCTGATCTCTGAGTCATTATTACCTTTTTGCCTGAATGGCAGGGCTACATACAAATAGAACTTGTAGTATAATTCTACACTTGTATTAACACTCATTCCTCTCCATTTTATTTAAAAGTAATGGGGCAGAGAGGTCCAAAAATAATATTTGACTCTAGTAGCTTGCCTGCAAATTACCATTCATTTCTTTGCATCCTGCATTTCCTTCCCTGTCATTCCCATGGGCTTAAACAGAGACTCTAACTCTTGCAGCTAGTTCTACTACTAAAGAATCTCAGATATTTAATATGTGTAAGTGAGGGTTGGTCTTTGGTAACTTAAAAAAGTTTCCACTGGCTTCTTTCAGTTTGGTCTTCAAAGCGAGGCCTGGCATCTTTTCTCAGACACCTTCATGTTTTCTGGCCACATTGCTTCCTGTGATGTCCTTCCTGAAGGGCAGTGACCAGCACAAATGTGTGGGACGACCTTGCAGATTCTTCTGGAAGCCTCATAAACAAAACTGTGCTCCAGGCAGTAGTGAGGGAGATAAATTTTATAGATGAGCATTCATTCAACTCACTGTGACTTTTGTAGCATTCGGAGTTGGTATTAACCTGTCAAGCTCTTAGTTTCCATTTCTGACTCTCCATGAGTCTCTGATAGGTGAACCAGGAGTCCCATTCAAGTAAAAACCCATCACCACCTTTATTTTCCCTTGGAAAATGCCTCCTAACTGAGCAAAGCTTGTCAACTTGACTCTGTCTTTCCATGGGCGAAGAGTTGCATGTGTCTGCAAAGGCTAACAACATGGCTAACTTAGAGAATCAGGGTGGGCGCGGAAAAGAATGAGCAAACACAGAAATCACATTCTCCTCAAAGGGAGTATCCCTTGGCCTGAGACAGTTCTTGTCATGTATGGGACAGCTATAAGCAAACAGATCTAATTTATCTTTTAAACACCAAATTCATACTTTTAGGTGAACTCTCTTGATTTCAGAATCATGGCAACTAATTAAAAAACTATTAAAAGTCCTGGTTATGCTCAATGCATCTCAATTTCGTTCCTAATTACCTAGTATATGACGTTTAACTTAGATCATTATTTCTCACACTTTTCTATCCAAATATTCCTTAGTAGAGGAGTATGGAAGTTTCCCTATAGGATTTATGAAGTAGTCACCCCCCCAAAAAAAAAAGTCTCACATGTAATGATGCCCAGGATTCTATACCAAGTATATCTCCTGGCTTGTACATGCTGTCAAGTGAGGATTTAAACTCTGTCTTCCAGGGATCTGCTTTACAGCTAAATTTCTGCAGTGGGAAGATTCTGTCATTTGAAAAAATGTGCTTGTGCCCCTAAAATGATTAACAAACAGTATCAGGTTGGGCCTAGGCTAGACAGCAGTACACTTTCAAAAACTACGTTGTACAGATCACAAAGTTCATTTTCCCAGTTCAGTCCTTAAAGATTATGTAGTAGAATTTAGAAGGGTGTAGTTAAAAAAAAAAGGGAAGCAGAACTTTGTTATAGTTATTACACCCAGGCACTTTGTCACTTCATTTAATCCTAGAAACAACCTTAAAAAATACATAAGTTGAAGTCCATTTTACAGATGAAAAGACTGACTCCTAAGGATATTCAGCTAGTATTAGGGAGTAACAACACATGGAGAGGTGGGGTTCTGCATTTAGGAATCATATACAGTGTTGAAACCAATGTTACTTTAATAAAAATATTTTTCAAAAATAAATAAGGCTATAATTGGAGGCCAAATTTATCAGTGTCCAAAAACTGCTGCTAGAATATTAGGTGTATATGATATATAAGATAGATGTTTATATCCAATTTGATTTCTTTCAGGGGAAAGAAACAATTATAGCTTGAATTTAATAGCCCGCTTTACCATCTTCTGTTTCTCTTCTCTTTTTTCCTCCCTCCACTCATGGATCATTTACTAAACTTTAAACAAAATTATACATTTCACTCAACTTAGAGAATATCTTCATAGCTGGATTTTACAAGTGTGATGTTACAAGTGTGTAGTCAAATATATTAAAATTAATAGTTTTCATTTTCTAATTTATTTTGATTTTGTGGAGTGACATTGTGTGACAATATTATATAATTTTTAGGTGTGTTTCATTGAGAAGAAACATGTATATGTGTTTATATAAAGGACATTAATAAAAACCCAGATCTATCCTTCCTCATACCACTGCCCTTTTTCCTTGATTTACCTACCCCTTAACTCCCTCCCTTCTGGTAGCCATTAATCGGTCTTGCAGCCGAAATGGCTACCTTTATTTTATTTAGTTCATCTGTTTGCTTTCTCTGTAAGTCACAGATGAGTGAAACCATATGGCAAAGACAGTGATAATCTGGGGTTCAGTTTGCTGGACTCTTAGTGATTTTTATATGTTACCATGGATGTTTTTATTCTTTTGGTGAAAAAGATATTTAAAACTGATGTGTAGCAAATTTTTGTATACTCCACATGTACAAATAGATCCCAGAAACAAATCAGAGGAGGTAACAAAGTGGGTGGCAAAGGGACATTTTCCCCAACCAAATCACTTATTTTTCTGCTCCTGTGCCTTCTCCTTACTCTCAGAACAATTTATATATTTAGTTAATATTTGGTCACCATGGGCCTCATCTCGCTTCCACTCAAAGATTCAGGTCTTTTTTGCCCTGTATCTTTGCCTCTCCAGAGAATCTACCCAAGAAAAGTTAGAGTACGCATAGGAAGAATCCCCTAAAATCCAGTTTTGGAAATCACAGTCTTTAGAACTCATCATTCCTCTCCCCCTCCATGTCACAAAAATAGAGAACAGATACAAGGATCACTGGCTAAATGTGACAAGATATTAGCTTTGCTAATGGCTAATCAAGTGCCCAATTGTTCTCCTCCTACATGACTCCTGATAAAGTATCTTAGAGAAAGTGGCTTAGAACTGAAGTCTAACGAATACTTTTTATTTTCATTTCAAAATAAGGCCTGTGGGAAGAGCTGGGTCAGCAAAACAGACTCCAAGGAGGGAAAGCCAGCCTGCTGTGAGAGCTTGAGCCTGCCTCACACATGGCTGCCAGAGGGTGAGAGAGAAAGAGAGGAGAGATGGCAGGTTTCCTGCAGGGCACTTATCTCCTTCGAACAGAAAATAGAGAAGAAAAGCTCACTCACCGTAAGTGTAAGCAGTTCCGTGAGAGCAAGAGTGCACACCCAGAATGAGTGTGATGGGCTTCAGGGTGCTCGTGCGCAGTCTGCAAAGGTGAGCTTCTCGCTGTCACAGTTTGTTCTTCCTCTTCTGTGGAGAAGGAGAAAGGAAGTGAGGAAAAGTTGATGTGCAATGTGAAGGAGTTATAGGATTAACTTTTATTCTTTTGCAAATGGGTTGTGTTGCACTAGGATCTTGTCTTGGAGACCTTCAGAATCATTTCATCTGGGACAATAAACTCTAGAAGAGGTCATGGAAGATAATGGGACAGATCAACCCCTATGGCCTTTAAAGAATTATTCTGTGACTATTAAGGATAGCAGAACTAGAACAGGGGGAGTGATGTGCATTCCCAAAGGTTAAAATACAAAAGTTGCCCACACCCAGGCTTCCACAGACCCTTCCTTCATGGGTTTGTTAGCGATGTCTTATCTCCATCTGGCACGCAATCTTCCATTTCCACTCCAGACTCTGCCTCCTCAAGACCATGGAACATAGGGCTTGAAATGAAATTGAGGACACCCCATTGTCATAACTGATCACCAGGAAGAGGTTGAGGGAAGGGAAAACCCCAAATTCTGCCACAGAAATATCAGTTCTCATATGTATGACAATCATCAAAAATATGTTCATATTTATTTTGAATATCACTGAAATTCAAGCAAAAATCAGATGTCATGTGGACTCAGAAAAACTTGTTTTGAGAATCCTGAAAAGGCTAATCTAAAGTTTTAGAAATGTTAATGTAGAGGGGACAAGGGTAGATTTGTGATCCAAACAGACCAGAATTCTAATCCTGCCTCTGCAATCTGAGATATTTTATTTCAACCAGATTATAGGACCTATTTTCTTTGAATTTTCTTTTATTATTATTGTTTTTAAATGAATAGGAAAATGTATATATTTTTTAAGATTTATCCATTTATTCACACAAGAACCAGGGTATAGGCCAGATGTGCAGTAGGTGAGAAAATTCACCAAAGACAGAGCGGGGAACAGAACAGGCAGACTGATGAAATACACTGCTGAGGGGAGCAGTGGGGCTGCCTTGCCCTGTGGTTTTCTTCCTGGCTGGCCGGGATCGAACTGGTGCTGCAGAGGCAGCGGACAGCTTCACAGTGCAGTGCTCAACTGCCTGCGCCACCAGGGGAGGCCCTATTTTCTTTATATTTTAAAATAAGAATCACACTGCCTGTACAATGTTTCTTCTATGAAGAAGATTCATACATGCACACATGTGTAGTGATATATGATGTATATAACATGTCACACAGTGTTTCCCACATACTATACTCCAACCAGTATGGATTCCTTTTTTAAGCTGAAATGTCCCTCCCTCTCCATTGTGTGCAATGAACTATAACAGGGAATGCAATGACAAATTAAATAGTATCCAAGAAGCATCAATCTGGTGACACAATTCAAATAATAAAATACACTCTTGTAAGTACTATAATAGAAAAATGTAAAAAAAAATAAATGAAAAGATATGCGATCCAAGGGAAGGTTTATTTTTCTATGCCCCTAAAAGAAACTCTGAAAATTATTTCCCAGAGAAACATATTCCTGGTGACTATTCAGTTAATGATAATAGTGATGATGATGCTGTTGTTGATGATGATGATGAAAATGAAGTTTATGATGATGACAATAATGATAAAGATAGTTTACATTTATTGCATATTTGCTATGTTGTAGGAACTCAATTTGCATATATTACTTGATCTTCACAAAATTCTAGTAGAAGGAAATAAAATTTGCAAGATGTAGAAAATCACGAAGTTACAGGGGTAGCACGGGGGGAAACTGGGACTTGGCACAGTTCTGTCTGATTGAAAAACTCAAATTCTTAACCACGATAAGCCATGTTCTTTCCAGAAATTAATTAATGAATGGTAATTAGGTTCTATTTGAACTATGGTTCATTTGAATTTAGATAGGCTTTTGTGAGTATATTGAGCACCTTTCCCTTCTCTCTGCTATTTTAGCACCCTAAATGGGATTTTAGGAAACACCATTTGAAACTCATTGCTTGCCTTTATCACTTGCCTGACTTTTAGGGCTGGTCAGTTACTTCAGGGTTTCTTTCCTGTGACAAAGTGTTGGGAGTCCGATGTTCCAACTGGGAGAACTCATCCACAAGGGTGTAAAAATGATGTAAAAAATATATAAAAGAAAAAAAAAAGAAAAAAAATAAAATAAGGGTACTTCAAAAACAATAAATACATTAAAAACAAAAAGGATTTCTTTCTTTTTGGAATTTGTTTTTGCCCTGCAGAAAATTCTTTGGTGATTGTCTTTTGTGGCTAAATCCCCACTGGTTTTGAAAATTTTTGAAATTTAAAAATTTTGTTAAAATATAATTTTGTTTGCAAGGGCTTAGTTTTGTTTTCAAAGTTGAAAATTGGATTATTTTTCAACATGCTAAACTTATTATTACAAGTATGTAGTGCAATGGCTAGACACCATTTCTACTGTTAAAATGCTCATTCCTTTGAGAATACTTCCCCCCACCCCCCAGCTATGTTTATTTAGGATATAGTCTAAAGATTCCCTAAAGAGTAGTGTGGTGTGGATTTTCTGTCTCTCTTTTTTTTAATTCATCTTGATTTGGATTCACTGAATTTCCTTTTTGAATTTTGATGTCATCATTTCAGGGAATTTCTAAACCATATGACTTCAAATCTTGCAACTTTATCCTCTGTATTTCCTTCTGGAGCTCCGATCATCCTGATGGTAGGCATTACACTCCATTGTCTTTCATCTTTTAATCTCAGTATCTCTGTGCTCATTTGGGGTAATTTTTTTGGATCTATCTTCTGGCTCATTAGTTCTTAGCTAAATATAGTCTATTACCTAATACATCCCTGGAACTTAAATTTTAAATTAAATTTATAGAAAACATTTTGTTCTTATAAAAAAAAATTCAGGTCATTTTTATAGTATCTTTGGTTGTTCTTATAGTTGTTGCATGTTCATTTAAAAAAAATCTAGTCATATTCCTTGGGTCTTTACTTTCAGGAATTTTATGAAATTTAGGAGACATTCCTACTGTAATTATTTGTATTTGGTTTTGCTAGGCTCCTGGGAGAAATGCCAAACCAGTACTACGATAAACTATTGTTGTATTTTTATTTTTTTAATTCAGAAAAATAAGAATTTGAACTTGGTCATGAATTAGGCTGTTTTATGTATACACATAATCACTGAAGGGTTTTATTCTTCTCACCTTAACAAACGTAAAAAGACAATATTTGTCATCTCATTTTATATTCAGATATTTTCTCTTATCTACTCTTTCCCTGAGCATGTAGACTTTTTTTTTCTTTTTTGAGGGTGGGATGATTATGGCTTTATGCAGCTTCTATGCCAACTCCCATTTTGAGCAGGCTCAAGCATCACTTTTATTTTACCTGTGTAATGTTTCAAGGCCAAGGCTCCAGCTAATGCACTTGTGTAATATACCAGGGAAGCCCTCAGCCCCAGTTACCACTCTTAATTTGCTCCTGTCATGGTTCTGGATGGCCAAGGGTTTCTTAAGTGTTATCTACTGAGGAGTTATAAAGAAGGATTTTGCAAGCATACTTAGATGTTTTGTACCCAGAAAAATTGAGCATACCTGGAATTTCATAATATTGGACAAGGAAGTCCGCACAATAGTTTTCAACTTCTTTTTTAGCTGTGACATTTTCAGCATGAAATATAAACAAATAGATTTAATAGGACACATTTACTTAACCCTCCACTTGTTTCCCACCACCCTCCCACCTATTTTCAGAAGCAGCTAATAGAGATGGCCAAGGCAGGATTATGGAAACGTGTTTCCAAGTTCTTCAAGTTCATATTACAAAGACAAATTTGAAAATACACCATTTTATACTTTTTTTTTTTACTTTTCTTTTATATATATATAAATATATATAGCTATAATTTAAATATATTTGACCCTTGAACAATGCAAGGGTCAAGCACTGACACCGTTTTCTACACACAGTTGAAAATATGGGTATAACTTTTCTTTTTTTAATTTTTTTTTATTTTAGCATTTATCATTTTTTACATAATATTTTCTTCCCCTCACCACATCAGATTGAGTCTCAATAGAGTTTCCTTCCCCAAGGCACTCTTGCACCATCACCGCAGTCCCCTGTGCTCCTCCCTCCCTCCCTCTGATCCCTCTCCCTCCCCCTCCCCTGCGTTATATCTCTGGTTTATGATTGTTTTTGCTTTGTTGTGTTTTGTACTGTTATTATTATTATTTTTTATATTCCTGTTATAAGTGAAAGCATCCAATATTTTTCTTTTTCCTTCTGGCTTATTTCACTGCGCATAATTCCTTCCAGCTCCATCCACGTTGCTGCAAATGGCATGAGTTTATCTTTTTTGATTGCTGAATAATATTCCATTGTGTATATATGCCACATCTTCTTGATCCAGTCATCTATTTTTGGGCATTTGGGTTGTTTCCAGGTTTTGGCACATATCAAATAACAAGCAACAACAAATGTTGGCGAGGATGCAATGAAAAAAGAATTTTCCTACATTGATGGTGGGAGTGCAAACTGGCCCAGCCACTGTGGAAAGCTGTCTGGAGATTCCTCAGTCTACTAAAAATGGAGCTATATATGATCTGGCAATTCCACTACTAGGGATCTACCCAAAGGACACAAAAACAGTGATTCAAAAGAGCACCTGTACATTATGTTTATTGCAGCACTATTTACAATATTTTATATAATTTTTCAGTTTTGTACAGTGTATGCATTTTCATCTTGGTTATAGTCCCGGTACAATTCCCACTACCCTAGTTTTGATCCTACTTACTCATAACAGGAATTTAGAAAACCTAAATAAGGGATCAGGAAAAGGACTATTATCATAAAGTAAAAATCAAAATCAACAAGCAACTATAAACTAGAGACACACTGCAGGGGCGGGGGAGAAGGGAGTAGGGAAAATACCCTGTTTTAAAGCATGGGATTGCCCATTATCATCTTTGAATGTCAAGACTTTTCTCTGCTTCTAGAGCATCTTATGTGAGTCAAACTAGCTTACCCCAGGGGTTTTACACCCAGGCTGTTAGTGCATCTTGTCTAAGGGCTGAAGGGGTTGACAATTCCATTTTGAGGAGGCATATCTTATAGGATATCTGGGCACTGAAATAAGAAGTGTTTTGCAAGGGAAGGAGCCACTGCAAAGAGCTTGTGGATAGCTGCTCTCTGTACTGTTAATAGCTTTCCATTGCAATGAAAAAAAAAAAAAATGTAGATCAAGATTTACCTGCATTTTATATCTATCAAATCAATATAAAAAGATGAGGATAAAAATTCTGCTGCTTCTGTGGAATGAGAATGAACCATGTTTTACAGTAATGCCAATAAGATGAGCAAAAGAGCAAATGCTGAGTTTTTATTTAGGAGCTCAATCCTAAATGGGGTGTGCATAACATATCAAGTATTAAGACATGCTGCAGTTGTAAGACAAGTTGGTTAGTGAGACA